AAACATATTTCAAATTTCAAGATAGAACTAAATTTTTTCAAAAACTTTCACTGATTATATTGGACAATGAAGATTTTGATATAATTATTAGCATTGAAGATGCTTCATATATTAAAATCTTCTATACATATTCTCTAATCTTAAAGCAAGAGCCCTCATATTATTGAGAAGTGGCAACTTAATATTTGTGAACTAGGTAGATTTGAATAAAATGACTAAGGCAAATGAAGAGGGTTATTGAATGATAAATACAGTAAGTATGTATGTTTTTGATTTATAAATCAGTTTACTGATTTTAATTCAGATGGCTAATAAATAATCTTTATGTCCAGAATAATTAATATGAATGAAATGATTCGAAGAGTTAGTGGGTCAAAAATGATATTTTTGTATTTAAGAATTTTAGTTTAATTGTATTATTTTACATACTAGCTTGTCAATTTAAATGATGCATTAAAAAAGTAAAACTTTCATAAAGATTTAGTTTAGTGTTTAAATTGTAGAATTAGAGTTTGGAAACCAAATTTGTTTTTTATTTAGTTGTTAAAATTTGGATTATTTCAAAAATACATTATTGGTCAAATTTAAACAATAAAGTAAATACCAAATTCAGTATTATTGAATGTATATACATATGTCTGTACATTCATACCAGATGCATACGCTTGTAACAAAAAACATTAAATCTCTAAGTATTTTTTTTGTTTTCCTTTTTTTACTAATTTTAACCCAGAATAATTACAAAACTCAAAGCATCTTTGAACGGTGATTTTCCATTCCCTACATGTAGAGTTGGTGGCACAAGCGGGGCACCACTGCTGCACCATTAAGTTATCATATAAATTTAAAGCATTGCACTAGTAGCTCACCACCTGCACTATCAACTCTACTCATATGACTAGCCTATTAATGCCTTTTGGCCCCAGTCCCAAAAACAGTCCTTAGTGCTTTAAAAATTTACTATTTATTAGTTAGCAATGACTTAAATTATGAACAATAAAATCAAATTATATAGCATGTCCTTTTTAAAATTTAGCTACCAACTTTAACTATGATGATATCAGCTTTGGCTAGTTTCAAGACTGGAGCCATGGGACCGGTTAAAAAAAACTTATCCTTATTCAGTCTTATCAGAACCAATTCATCTCTATTTAATTTGGAGTAATAAAAAAAATATAAATTAAATTCAAAAAAGTTAATACTTAAAATGCACTATGCAGTAATGCAAAAATTATAATAAAATTTGTATGAAATTTTTTTGCAGTATACTAATTTAGGAAAAGTGGCAAGTAGCAGATATTGGTATAGTATTGAGCCCTGGATCTTGATCTGAGTTTTGGGTATAGATATGGTTCTGAATCACAAAAGCCTGTCTTGTCCATGAACAAAGTATTGATGCGCAATATAATAATAAAAATTTTGTCAATTTGGGTTGTCATGGGTAGCAATGACAATATATTTGCACCTTATTAGTCATATATATGTACGTATGTATGAATCAAATATAAAAAAGTTCCAATACTTCAACCTTTTAATCCAAGTTCAAAGCAAGCATAATATGCCAATACTATATTCTGAAGGTACAGATAAGCTGTCAACCATTTTAAAGTTTTTTTTTTTTTTTTTTTTTTCTTTTAACAATAAAAGGACATGTTGAATGTCTAAACGAATTTGCCATGTCTTTTATAGTGTTCTGTAAATTTTTTTAAAAACTTAAAAAGTGATTAGAATAAATATCATAAATTCACCAACCTTATAACATTATACCTCCTGAGTCTGTGTCCAAAAAGATGCATAATTGCATTAGCAACAAACAAAAAAAAAAATCTGCGAGTTTGCAAAAAAAAACCCATCCTATAAACAACAAGAAATTGCAGATGAGTTCATTAAATGTTATCCAGATTTGAAAATAAATTGTACCACCATATCAAAAATATTAAAGAAAACTGATGAATATCAATAGCTTAGAGATAATAATATACAGGCTGACAATACTTTTTGTCATCGTTCTGTGAAGTATCTTATATTAGAGCTCACTATAAACATGTGAATAAAGTGAGTTACAACAGAAGAAATGATTTTATCAGAGTCATTAATAAGAGAAAAAGGTCACCAATTTGCACAAGCGCTTGCTATACCTAAAGAATCGCTTATATTTTCAAATAGGTGGATTACTAGATTTAAGAAGTGCAACGGGTTAAAAAAAATTATAATGCATGAAGAGGCAGCAAGTGCACCTCTAGCAAGCTTACCTGCTAAACGAATTAAATTGCAAGAACTTTTATCTCATTATAGCCCCGAAAATATCTACAATGCAGATGAAACGGGTCTATTCTACTGGTTACTCCCTAATCAAACTCTTTTCAATAAAAAAAGGTTTCTGGAAAAAAAAAGGTAATTTAGTATGTAATAATAATAATACAGTAATAAAAAAAAAAAAAAATTTCTCTTTCTATTTTTTTAGGATAAAGCAAGATAATGGTGCTACTTTGCTCCAATTCTACTGGCACTGACAAGTTATAGCCACTAGTTATTGGTACCTCTAAAAAGCCATGATCTTTTAATGAGATAAATATATCGTAGCTACTAGTAATTTATTGAAATAATGAAAAAGCGTGGATGCGAAATGATATTTGAGAAAATTGGTTAAAATTTATTGATAATGGTTTTCACATCCAAGATAAGAAGGTTCTGCTTCTCATCAACAATGCAGCTTCTCACATAACTCCAGATACAAATGATATGGCTGAAGTTCAAGATACTAAGGAATTATCATCAGGTTAGTTAAAGTTAGATTAAAGATAAAAATAAAAAATAAAAGTATAAATAATAATAATAATAATAATAATAAGGAAATAATTTTACCGAAGAAATTGAAAATCAACAAGAGCCCCAAAGAAACCCATGAGGAAGGTCCTGAGGAAGATTCCGAGAAAAGTCCTGAGGATCTCAAAAATCTAATCCTACCCATTTAAGCCAATTAAAATGAACTTCAGAAAATTTTTACCTTACAAATGTCACAGTACATTACCTTCTCCCGAATATAACAGCACACCTTTAGCCCATAGATGCTGGAATAATCAAAAGTTTTAAGTCAAGATATAAAAATCTATATTGTCATTATTTGCTTAATCAATTTGAAAAAAATAGAGATCAAAGGTAAAAATTTACAATAAAACCTCTATAAGTATACTTACTATAAGCATACATATTCTTTAAATACATACTTAAATTTGAGCCCAAATATATATATTATGTATCAAACTAAAATTTAGGTAGGGTAGGTATTAGCAACATTTGGGGTTTCAGAGTTAACTTATTTTGAAAATAAGTGGGAGTTTGAAAAGTTCTATTTGTTTTTAAAATTTCGAATGAAAAAGGTGTTGTCTATAAACAAACTTTTTTTGGTAAAGTATATTATGCCTTATTATATAAATAGGCTTGCAAATAAAACAAATAGGATTTATAGATTGCCAATTACAAAATTAATATGTCGCTAATTTAATTTAAAATCAAAAACCTGAACCTTAAGTCTGAAACCCACTATTATAGTTATTTTGATCTAATACATATTTTAATTTGACATACAACAAAAAAATCATAAGAATATAAAATTCAATCTTATTTTAAATCATTCAATACTAGGGTTAGGGTCCCATAGCCTAGTGGTCTAGACGCCTAACCCTCTACAGACAAGGTTGATGGTTCAATTACAGCTAGTGGTAATTAATTATCTCTGTAACCTGTGGGGGCTTTTGAATGCGAAACCCTGTGGTAGTAAGACCATGTGAAATATATATTTGGCCGATAAAGAATTCTTGGAAGGAGTCCCGAGCCATGGAGAAGATCGGGCACTACATATAACATGGGTTACAGAAGGTATTACTGCAGAAGACTATGCATGTAAATTCATGATTGGCAAGGTAGCACCAACAACTCTAAGGCGGCATTGGGATCTTAATTGGGAGGACGGCTGTATGCAGTATATTCAGAAAGTAGTGAACATAGTAAAGGGCTGTGGTAAGAGAATGACTTTACCAAATATGGAACACCTTTGGCGCAATGAAAAAACAAAAAAACTGATTAAAAGAAACCCTGAAAAGCATGGAAGCAAGTACCCTGGTGGTACAAACATAAAGACGGCTAGCGAGTATAGTCGCACAACCTATATGGGAGTCTATGACGAAACACAGCAGAAGCGCGGGTTCTAGGTTACTGCTTTGTGGCAGTAATTAAATGAGGTTCTTAACTCCCGTTCAAAGAATCTAGACTTCTGTATCACCATACCGATAGGGAGTACTAAAAAAGAGATAGTAGCCTAATTAAGAGATGTATGATATTAATACCTGGACCCATGTGAACAGCTCTCCTAATAGTGGCAGCAGGTGGCTTGAGATATGGGTCTTCAGACAGCGGTAGCAACTGGCTTGAAATATGAATTAGGTTCTGAAGTAACATACTTGAGAAATACCAAACTAGAAGCAAGAAGAGTGCCCACTTCTAGGACACCAATTTGGAAGTTATACAAGATATGAATTAGGAGTAATGTGATAAGTGATGAGAGGTGGATTATAACTGGTGGATATTGTACAATAGTATATATAGCAGGATGTATATGAATTAAATAGGTAAGCACGGCCTACTATTGATCTGGAGGGAAATCCCCTAGTGAGTTAGGGGCCAAAGGGGAGGTGAATCTGTGGCTGGACGGTTATACTTGGACACCGAGTAAGCTTTGTTACAGAGTCAGTGGAGATATAGTTTTAAAAGTTTCTATACTGATAAAACCTTGTATGTCTCGATAAAAAGAGACACTTAACTACTGAAGTTAATAAAGCAGATACCGTTTAAAAAAAAAAAATAAATCATTCGATACTAACAGTTTTATATATGAATAATACAGAAAACTTACCTTAAAAAAAGCCATTGATTTTATTTTTGATACTTGGGGGAAAGTTAGTGAAAATACTATAAGAAACTGCTAGAAAGCTACCAAAATTATGCCAGAAACAAGCGAACCAAAGGAAAGTGAATTAGATAACAAACTTCAGGACGAGACTACTAATAATAATGATGATGTTTCTTTGCTACTTGAAGACCTTTCTGCTGAAACTAGCCTAGTAATTCAAGAATTATCGAATAATATCGAAGAATATATCCAAATGATTGATCAACCAGTCACTACAGAAAATATACTAACAGATGAAGAAATTATCGAAATAGTAATGGATGAATTTTGTGATAATGAAACTGATGATAACGATGACAATGAAGAACTACCACCACCCCCAATAACTATAATGGAAGCTATTGAGGCATTAAAGAAAGTTATAAGATACCAAGAGAGCCTCGATGTTGGAAAAGGATTTAATGAGAATGGGTTAATAATATTATGAAAAAAGCTTAAAGAATGGCAATATAAAAAAGATAAATCTAAAAAGCAAACTTCAATCTTATCTTTTCTTCAAGAATCCTAGTACTGTAGCTTCATGTTTACTATATTCTAAATTCAATTCTTTTTTTTTTTATTTGGTGCTATATTTTTTTAAAAAATTCAATCGATTATTTAGTGCATAAAAATTAAAAAAAATGAACTCTGAACAACTTTGTTAACTTAGTTACAATTATCAACATGGTAAAAAAGACAAGAAGAAAGCCTTTAAATATTATTTGAGAGCAGCAGAGTTAGAAAATTCAAATGTGATTAATAAAGCTGGTGTTTGTTCGAAAGTGATTTTGGCTATTAAATCGTGAGAGACCTGGACCTTAAATAAATAAAAAAAAGACTAATCTAAATATTAAATGCTGTGTAGTAATAAAAGTATGCTCAAATAACAAACTGTCTTAACTATGTTATATTTGTCTTGCTATGACCGAATATGAATGTAAAGCAAGACCGAGTGCCTTTATTTTATACTACAAGAACTGACTATTTTACCAGAATCGTTTATAACTCCCGAATAGACCAAAATGATCTAATTACCCAACTCTTTCTAAAGGTCTAAAACATTCTTATTAATCTTATTTTCTACTATGCCTTTTCTCTAAATGTTAACAATTTAGTTAATAACTTTACAAATTAAACATTTTCAACAATGCGATCGGTTACAGTACCTCAAAAGTTCTACATATAAGTGTACAAGGGTTAATCAATCTATAAAAACTAAAAATACAGTAGTTATGGTAAGTTATTAGTTATAGTGCTTCTAACTATTATGTGCGTGTATATACTATATATATACAAATACTAGATCTAACTAATCTACAAAAATTAGAGGGGTATTTGAACCTATTATGCTAAGAAATAACCATTATATTAAGAAATAGAATAAGGTAAAATAAAATAGAGTTTACCTGATTTGTTATATTTATAGTGTGATTTTATAGAGGGTAATTTTATATAGATATCATATAACTGGTTAACAAAAAAATGTGATAGTGACTATAAGGCGATTGTGCCTATATAGAATATAAAAAAGATTCATAAAAAAAACCCTGTGATTATATTGAGGTTGTGACTATAGAGGAGGTGACTATAGAGGGGATGACTGTATATAGTTTTTTTTCTTATAATATAATTGATTTGAGTTATAATAAATTAAAATTGTATTATTGGTATTACTATATTATTTTGATTGGATCTTGAAATTTATTGCTCTTATTTTTATTAAATAATATAATTGACCAATAAAAATCGATTATGTAAATTACGTACTCAATCGAGTAGAAATTCTACAGACAAAGCTTAGAGACAAAACAGTCACGTTAGTGCTTCTAGGTCTGGTCTGGTCCAAGTCTGGTCTGGGGTCAAACCAGACTCAGACTAGTTTCGAACTTCAGACTAGACTCAAACTTAATTATAAGTCTGGTCCGAAGTTTGCAAACTAGTTCAAGTCCAAATATATTTATACTTGCGTATATTTATTTTTGAACTTTGGACCTAGTGCTTGGACTCGTTATTACTTGGGTAACCTAGTGGTCCAATAGGCTATATCTTTTGTACCACTTTAGATAAACATTAACTTTGTGAAATAGGAGGAGCTGTCAATGTTACATGACTGAACCTTCCCTGATATGCAGTATATAAAAAATTTAATTTACAATACCAAATCATTCTGCTAGTATATGTTATAATTATAATCTCATTTTTATTATAATAAAATAGTGTGGGATTATAATTATAACATGTATTAGCAGAATAATCTGGTATTGTAAATTAATTTTTTATATAGTGCATACTAGGTGAAGTTCAATTGTGTAACATTAACGGTTCCTCATATTATTTCATGACTTATTATTAGCTGAGCTAGGTGATTTGGCAGCGATGAATAATATTGGTCTTTGTTACTGGCATGGAATTGGAGTAGAAATAAATTCTCAAAAATCATTTGGATATTGTAAGAAATTTGCTGATTTGAGCAATGCCGCTGCAAAATATAATATTGATAAGTTGGTCAAATTATAATAAAGCATTTTAATACTATAAAAAATCTGCTAATGAATCACCTGACATATCAATTCAGAACTTAAGAAAATATTAGACGATGAGAGATTTAAATTATCTTGAATTAATTATAATGAGTTTATACAGAATAGTTCAATAGAGTTAATAATATTTAGAATAGTAATGCACTTAAAGTTAGAGTGATCAACATTTTAATAAAATCAAACAATAGTTATGAACTATGTTTAATTATTATGTGCTGATTTTTTAAAAGTTAATTTCAGATACGAATTTATATATATATTTGTACTGATTTAGGTACACTTTTTTACCTAACTAACAGACAAAATTGTATTGTATTTTTTTTAAAACTATAGTTCTAGACTAGTTCTATACTGTAATGAAGCCAATTTTGTAATAGATTTTAGAAAAAATCTATTTTAATTTTATGAAAAGTTATTGCAAAATTGGCTCTATTAGCATAGAGCTAGTCTAAAACTACAGTTTAAAAAAAAATATGATGCAATTTTGTATATTAGTTAGGTAAAAAAGTGTATCTAAATTAGTGCAAATTTATATATAAATTCATATATGAAATTAACCTTTAAAAAATCCACACATAATAATTAAACATAACTATTGTTTAATTTGTTAGAGTGTTGATTACTCTAATTTAAAGTGATTTATTATTCAAACGAAAGCAAGTAAGAATTTATCCATGAATTAAAGAATTATTGTGAAATTGGTTACGAGAATCCATCATTCTTGGAATGTATTAGAGTATCAAGAAATGGTCATGGTGATTACATTATTGTTATAAAATATGCATTAAAAGGAATGTTGTGACAAAATCTTGTACAAGTATTACAACTGGAATGGAAAGATAAATTGAATATCTTGTACTATATAGCTTCGGATTTGGAGTCGATTCATTCGCAAGAACCTGTTCACAGAGATTTACACAGTGGAAATATTACAAGTATCACAACTAGAATGGAAAGATAAATTGAATATCTTGTACTGTATAGCTTTGGATGTGGAGTCGATTCATTCGCAAGAACTTGTTTACAAAGATTTACATAGCAGAAATATTTTGCAAGATAATTTGCATAATGCATATATTACAGACCTTGGACTTTCTAAAAATGTAAAAGGAAAAACTTGTGGAATTCTGCCATATATAGCACTAGTGGGACAACTGTACACTCCAGCATAAGATATTTACAGCTTTGAAGTTATCACAACAGAGATTTCAACATAACAAAGAGCATTTGATAGAATTCTGTTTAATGGTGGTCTTGTGTTTAGGACCAGATTGATGTATTAAATTAGCCATGAAATGTATGGAAAAAGAAGTGACCTACTGCAACAGAAATTATTGAAATAAGCACACATTAGTTAAATGAAATGGATCATGAAAATAATAATGAAATCAAAAAACAAATTCTGGAGGCTAATAAGATTAAACCGGAATCGATTAAGCAAATATATTTACAAGTCTTATATACTAGCAAGGTATATGATATGAAAAAAAATTTAAATATACCTGGGTTCAACGGTCCAACCACTAACTTGTCAATATCAAATATATATAAATACATTCGGACTCAGACTAGTCTGCAGACTTCGGACCAGACCCGGACCAAACTCAGACTTGACTAAAAAGTCTGAATATAAAAGTCTGGTTCGGGTCTAGTCTGTAGGAGTACTAAGTCATATAATATTATAAAATAAATAATTTTGAAACTTTAAGTCAAAATAACTAGGCAACCACTTGATAATTTTGGCAAAATTTTTTTATTTGAATTCTATGTATTCATATAATTCAAATAAAAAAAGTTCTATCGAATTTGGTTAGATAGTTATGAAGATATCTTTGTTCAAAGTTAGAAAAAAATCAAAATATCTATCAAAATAGAAGCTATACCAATTTTTTAAAAAAATTTAAGTGAAGATATCTCCACACCCACCTGATCAAACTCGATTATTATTATTTTTTTTGAGTTATATAAACTCATAGAATTCAAATAAAATAAAATTTTATCAAATTTAGTAAGATAGTTGTGAAGATATCTTCACTCAAAGTCAGAAAAAAATCAAAACATCTATCAAAATAAAAGCTACAATTTTTTAAAAAAATTGAGTGAAATTATCCACAACTACCAACTAAATTCAATAAAAATTTTTATTGAATTCTTTAAATTCATAGAATTCAAATTTAAGAGTTCATCAGATTTGGTTAGGTGGTTGTGAAGATACCTTCACTCAAGTTTTTAAAAAAATTGGTATAGCTTTTATTGTTTTGATTTTTCTCTAACTTTGGGCGAAGATATCTTTACAACTACTTAATCAAATTCAGTAAATTTCTTTTCAATGTATTCTATGAATTTATAGAATTTTAATAAAGAAAATTTTATTGAGTTTGGTCAGGTGGGTATTGAGATAACTTTGCTTAAATTTTTTAAAAAATTGGCATAGCATTTATTGTTTTGATTTATTTCTGAATTTGAGTGAAGATATTTCTACAACTATCTAACAAAATCTGAAAAAATTTTTTATTTGAATTATATAGATGCATAGAATTCAAATAAAAAAGTCAAATTTGTCAAGTGGTTGCCAAGATATTTTGATTTAAAATTTTGAAAAATTTTATTTTATAATATCATATGACTGTTTAGTTCCTAAGCTCTGTCTGTAGAATTTCTGTCAATTAAGCACATGATTCATGTGATTGATTTTTATTGGTTAATCATGGGTCACCATGGCAATGGGTTGCTATAAACTATCATTTAAATTATTAAATAAAGCATATTGGTGGATTTGCAGAATTGGTCCTGAATTGATCCTAAATTGTATCCTCAAAGTTATCTGCCATTTTGTAGCAAACAAATATATGTATATATAAAGATAATTTAAGGGGTAAATATATACAATGACATTGTAATTGTATCT